GGTCGTCCTGTTAAATCTATTCGTGCCCGTTTAAAGGGTAAGGAAGGTCGTATCAGAGGTAATTTAATGGGTAAGCGTGTCGATTTCTCTGCAAGAACAGTTATTTCAGGTGATCCTAATTTAGAATTGGATCAAGTCGGTGTTCCAAAATCTATAGCTAAAACTTTAACATACCCCGAAGTTGTAACTCCATATAATATTGATCGTTTAACACAGTTAGTGCGTAATGGTCCAAATGAACATCCTGGTGCTAAATATGTTATTCGTGATAACGGAGACCGTATTGACTTGAGATACAGTAAAAGAGCAGGTGATATCCAATTGCAATACGGTTGGAAAGTCGAACGTCACATCATGGATAATGACCCAGTTTTATTTAATCGTCAACCTTCTTTGCATAAAATGTCCATGATGGCGCATAGAGTAAAGGTTATGCCATATTCAACATTTAGACTGAATTTATCTGTTACTTCACCTTATAATGCGGATTTCGATGGTGATGAAATGAATTTACATGTTCCTCAGTCAGAAGAAACTAGAGCAGAACTTTCTCAATTATGTGCAGTTCCAATGCAAATTGTTTCACCACAATCTAACAAACCTTGTATGGGTATTGTGCAGGATACACTATGTGGTATTCGTAAACTGACATTAAGAGATTCCTTTATAGAGTTCGATCAAGTTTTGAACATGTTATATTGGGTTCCTGATTGGGATGGTGTTATTCCTCAACCAGCCATTTTAAAGCCAAAACCATTATGGACTGGTAAACAAATTTTATCTATTGCTATTCCTAAAGGTATCCACCTGCAAAGATTTGATGAAGGTACTACAATGCTTTCTCCAAAAGATAATGGTATGCTTGTTATTGATGGTCAAATTGTTTTTGGTGTCGTTGATAAGAAAACTGTTGGTTCTTCAAGCGGTGGTTTAATCCATGTTGTTACAAGAGAAAAAGGTCCTCAGGTTTGTGCGAAAATGTTTGGTAATATTCAGAAAGTCGTCAACTTTTGGTTGTTACATAATGGTTTCTCTACTGGTATTGGTGATACAATTGCCGATGGTGAAACTATGAAAGAAATTACTGAAACAATCGCAGAAGCTAAAAAGAAAGTCGAAGAAGTTACAAAAGAAGCTCAAGCCAATTTACTAACAGCTAAGCATGGTATGACATTGCGTGAATCCTTTGAAGATAATGTTGTTCGTTTTTTGAATGAAGCCAGAGACAAAGCTGGTCGTCTTGCTGAAGTTAACTTAAATGACACCAACAATGTCAAGCAAATGGTTAGTGCCGGTTCCAAGGGTTCTTTCATTAACATTGCTCAAATGTCTGCATGTGTTGGTCAGCAATCGGTTGAAGGTAAACGTATTGCGTTTGGGTTCGTTGATCGTACCTTACCTCATTTCTCTAAAGATGATTATTCTCCAGAATCCAAGGGTTTCGTTGAAAATTCATACTTAAGAGGGTTGACACCACAAGAATTCTTTTTCCACGCTATGGGTGGTCGTGAAGGTTTAATCGATACTGCAGTTAAAACTGCAGAGACAGGTTATATTCAACGTCGTCTGGTTAAAGCTCTGGAAGATATTATGGTTCATTATGATAGTACTACTAGAAACTCTCTAGGTAATGTCATCCAATTCGTCTATGGTGAAGATGGTATCGATGCATCCTACATTGAGAAGCAATCCATTGATACTATTGGCGGCTCAAATCAAGCATTTGAAAAGAGATATAGAATTGATCTAATGAGCCCCGAACATTCACTAGATACAACTTTACTAGAGTCTGGTTCTGAAATTATAGGTGATGTCAAGATCCAATCTATGTTAGATGAAGAATATAAGCAGCTAGTTAATGATCGTCGTTTCTTGAGAAATGTTTTTATTGATGGTGAACAGAATTGGCCGTTGCCAGTTAACATCAGACGTATAGTTCAAAATGCCCAACAAACTTTCAGAATTGACCATACAAAGCCATCTGATTTAACCATTCGTGATGTTGTTTATGGTGTCAAGGAATTAGAAAGTAAGTTGTTAGTCTTGAGAGGCAAGAGTAAAATAATTGAAGAGGCTCAAAATGACGCAATTACCTTATTCTGTTGTCTATTACGTTCCCGTCTAGCTGCTCGTAGAGTTCTGGAAGAATACAGATTGACTAAACAAGCTTTTGATTGGGTATTGAGTAACATTGAATCACAATTCTTACGTTCAATAGTTCATCCTGGTGAAATGGTCGGTGTCTTGGCTGCACAATCTATTGGTGAACCAGCTACCCAAATGACCTTAAATACTTTCCATTTTGCTGGTGTCGCATCTAAAAAAGTTACTTCAGGTGTTCCACGTTTAAAGGAAATTTTAAATGTTGCTAAGAATATGAAAACACCTTCATCTACTGTCTACTTAGAGCCGGAATATGCCATTGATCAAGAAAAAGCAAAATTTATTAGATCTGCCATAGAACATACTACATTGAAGAGTGTTACAGTGGCATCTGAAATTTATTACGACCCTGATCCACGTAGTACTGTTATTCCAGATGATGAAGAAATTATACAATTACATTTCTCATTGTTGGACGATGAAACAGAAAAGGCCTTAGACAACCAATCCCCATGGTTACTGCGTCTAGAATTAGATCGTGCCGCCATGAATGATAAAGATTTGACAATGGGTCAAGTTGGTGAAAAAATCAAAGAAACATTTAAAAATGATTTATTCGTTATTTGGTCAGAAGATAATGCTGATAAATTAATTATCCGTTGTCGTGTCGTTCGTCCTAAATCATTGGATGCAGAAACTGAAGCTGAGGAAGATCATATGTTGAAAAAGATTGAAAACACTATGTTAGAAAGTATTACTTTACGTGGTGTTGAAGATATTGAACGTGTTGTCATGATGAAATATGACAGAAAAATGCCAAGTGAAAATGGTGCATACGAAAAAGTTCCAGAATGGGTTTTGGAAACAGATGGTGTTAATTTATTGGAAGTCATGACAGTTACTGGTGTTGATCCAACTAGAATATACACTAACTCTTTCATTGATATTACTGAGGTTTTAGGTATTGAAGCCGGTCGTGCAGCTTTATACAGAGAAGTCTACAACGTTATTGCTTCAGATGGTTCTTATGTTAATTACCGTCATATGGCTTTATTAGTCGATGTTATGACTACACAAGGTAGTTTGACATCCGTCACACGTCATGGTTTCAATAGATCTAATACTGGTGCATTGATGAGATGTTCTTTTGAAGAAACAGTAGAAATTTTGTTTGAAGCTGGTGCTTCTGCCGAATTAGATGATTGCCGTGGTGTTTCAGAAAATGTAATTTTAGGTCAAATGGCACCTGTTGGTACAGGTGCATTCGATGTTATGATTGATGAAGAATCATTGATTAAGTATATGCCAGAACAAAAGATAACAGAATTAGAAGATGGTCAAGAAGGTGGTCTAACACCATATAGTAACGAAAGCGGTCTAGTAAATGCTGATATTGATTTGAAGGACGAATTAATGTTCTCACCTTTAGTCGATTCCGGTTCCACCGATGCTATGGCAGGTGGTTTCACAGCTTATGGTGGTGCTGATTATGGCGGAGCTACATCTCCATTCACTGCGTACGGGGAATCTCCATCCTCTCCAGGATTTGGTGGTGTCTCTTCTCCAGGGTTTTCTCCTACTTCACCTGCTTACTCACCAACTTCTCCTTCATATTCACCAACATCTCCATCATACTCACCAACTTCAACATCATATTCCCAAACTTCCTCAAGTTATAGTCCAACATCACCTTCCTATTCACAAAATCTCCATCATACTCCCAAAATTCCCATTCTATTTCGCCAACTTCCCCACAAATTCCCCAACTCCCCATATAATTCCCAACCTTCCCAATTTACGTCCACATTCCCATTATATTCCCAAATTCCTTAAATTCCCAATTTCTCCATATTATTCAACTTTCCAATTTAGCCAACTTCACATCTTATCCAAATTACATTAAATCCCAAACTCCCTTATATTCCATTCTCCATATTTCCTACCACATAAATCTCAAAACCCTAATCCCAATCCCGATAAACCGGGTTCTTCTCTCCCTCACAAAAGACCGGGAGAAAAACACAAGAATAATTCCTTAAGGAC